CTCTCTCTCTCTCTCTCTCTCTCTCTCTCTCTCTCTCTCTCTCTCTCGTGTGTGTGTGTGTGTGTGTGATATGTGGTATGTATTCCCAGAAGCCAGAAGAAGTTGAGTATCTTGCTTTATCGGGCTCCATCTTAATCTTTCTTGAGACAGAGCCTCTCACTAAACCTGAAACTAGGCTGGAGACCAGCAAGCCCCAGTGATCCTCCTACTTCCACACCTCCACAGAAAGTGATCACATCTAGCTTTATATGTGGGGCCTGGGGACTTGAACTCAGGTCCTCATGCTTGCCCAGCCAATGCTCTCACCCGCTAAGCCACCTCATAAGCTCCTGGGGCAGTCTTAAACTGGGTCTTTGTTACAACAACCAAATGTCTATCTTAACTAATTTTTGTTTGGAAGTGATGCTACTTAAAACCTAAAACAAATACTGGTTTAGAGACTGACTGGTTGCTAGCAAGGAAAATATCGCAGTGACAAGCTGTGGACCATTGTCACAAGTTCAGCAAAATACAGGCTCTGACTGTCATGCCTAGGCAATAGAGCACAGGCTGATGGGGTGAAGTAGGCATTTGCTGTGCCTCAGAAGTTTCACTATCTGGCAACAGATCCAGGGCCCAGGGACACTCATGAAAAGCAAAAGCCACTTCCTACACAGGTCTTCTCCACCGTCCTTGGAGGCTGTTCCAGGTGCTTTGAAGGAGAAAAGAAAATATGTTCAATAAATCCAGCAGAAAATCCAATAGACCATTTCCTGAGTGTCCACTCAGTGGGTCGCGATAGAAGAGCCTCGAATGACAAGAGGGAGGGAGGGACAGGGAGAGGGAAGCCAGAGCAGCTGGGTCAGCGTTCCCCATTTGGACTCTGACTCAGGCCCTAGGAATGCCAAGGAAGGGGGTGAGCCGCACAGGAGCCAGGCTGGGTTCCCCTCTGGCACAGAGAGATGCAGAGTCAGTACTCGTGGTGGGTTATTGGCTGGACTCCTGCACACCCATTCATCTCGCAAGCACAGGCCGACTCAGGTATTGCTCCCTCTGCACACAGGTACGAGCCCACGCTCTCAGCCCCCTCTCTTGCCTTTGTGATGACCAGCAACGTGCCCACCGGTCTGATTCTCCTTTTCCATCGTTCATCTTTCACCTAAGAAGGGCATAGGTTAGTGGAACTCAAAATGGGATGTCTTGACATACCCTGGCTCCTCTCTTAGGAACACACACAACCTCCTCGTCCTCCTACATCCTCAAGTGTATCCTTCCTAACTCATCCCACCCAGGCTAGGGAAGTTTGCATGGGGGAGAAAGTGAAGGCAGCCAACTTTCCTCCTTAGGATGAGAGTTCCGCCTCCGCAGCGCCCCCAAGCTGCAGTGCCGGAACAGCTGCGGGTTGAGCGCTCCCTCCCAAGACCTGACAATCAGAGAGAACCCGATCCCCTCGAGGGCCCTCCGCCAGGGACCGGCCCAGAATAGTGCCACCCCGCCGCCGCCGCCTGTCGCGCACTTGCTAGCGGACTAGAGCTGGCCGCATGGAGCCCGAGCTGGAGCATACACTGCCTAGGGTACCGGGGTCCCAGGGGGCCGGCTCTGGGACGGAGAAGGACAGCAAGCTCGTGGCCGTGTGCGCTCGTGTGTGGCCCACGTACTTGCTGTGCTCTGTATTCTGTGTGTGAACTGTTTGGTGCTGTGTATGTATGTATTTTGCGTGTACGTGCCTGTGTGAGGTTCCAGGTGTGCCAGGGGTGTGCAAGTTGTGCATATCTGTGTACGTGTGGTGTTTGGGTGGGTGTACTTTTTAAAGGGGACAACCCAGGGACTTTAGAACGGAAAGCATTTTCACTTCAGACATTCTCTCCCAAAGACTCTGACTTGGAGCCACACTGGGGGTCCAGAGAGTCAAGGTGGGTGGAGCGTTGCTCCCTGTGGATCTAGCCTTTTCTCTTTAGCCCCTTTGTCCCCTGCCTTTTTGAATCCCAGTCTTTAATCCTAGCTTGGCTTTTGTCAGAAGAAATCCTTTCCCCTCTCAGCCTTCTCCCTCTTCTTTTCCCCAGTGTGTGTCCCCCACCTCCCCTTTCCTCTTTGCTGAAGATCTGAACCCCACTGCAAACCCTACTTAACCACTTTCCAGCTGTGTGATTTGTGACAAATTGCTTAACCTCTCAGAGTTTCTGGGCCCCTGATGCTAAATAGTTATGCCATTCCTATTTGCAATATGTGCTTTGGAAGATTCCTATAAATAGAAAATGAAAAATATTTCTTTGGGGAGAGGGGCTTAGAACGCTTCCAATAGCCTCAGTAATGGCATCCAACTTGGTTTTGTTGTATCATTCCCTACTAATTGAAGAGGTTCTTTTCCTCCTTCCAGAGATGGACTTCTTAGAACAAGGAGAAAACTCATGGTCATCTCCAGCTGTGGACACCAGCTCAGAAAGAACCTGTGCCATTCGGGGAGTCAAGGCTGCCAGATGGACGAGACAGGAGGCTGTGGAGGAGGCAGAGCCACCGGGCTTGGGAGGTGAGGCTAAGGTCGGTTATGGTGCCAGGGTCAGCAGGAAGTCCAGAGCGGAGCTTGACCTCAGACCTCTCCATCACATGGACTTAAACTCAGCCTCATCTTGTGGCCTCTGACTCCCTAAACGAGAGGCAATAACTCTGCTGATGACCAGGGCCCCAGTACAGCCACCTTGGAACGATGGAACAGAGTTGCTGTCAGCTAGGACTCTGAGACTCTACAATAACCCCTATGCCCCAATGCTGCCAAACACTGAAAGCACAGAGATCATGCTTTGGAAGATGAAGTTACTGTCCTCCCTGCCTTCTTCCCCCAACAGGTGCCCAGTCCAGACCAGCTGCTGATTCCACCAGGCAGGAGGCCACATTCCCAAAGGCCACACCCTTGGCTCAAGCTGTTCCCTTGGCTGAAGTGGAGACCTCCCCCACAGGGTGGGACCTGCTCTTGCCCAACTGTGCAGCCTCGAGAGTGGGCTCTAGCACAGGTGACCTGGAGCTGACCATAGAGTTCCCAGCCCCAGAAGCCTGGGACTGTGAGCTCGAAGGCCTGGGGGAGGACAGGCCTCGGCCTTGCCCATCCCCACAGGCCCCACTCCTCAGCCTGAGCTGGGATGATGAGCTTCAGAAGCCTGGAGCCCAGGTCTATATGCACTTCATGCAGGAACACACTTGTTACGACGCCATGGCCACCAGCTCCAAACTGGTCATCTTTGACACCACGCTGGAGGTAAGATTCTGGCTTGACTCTACTTGACCACATAGCTCAGCCTCCTGCCTCTGTAGCTACCACCTACACTCTCCTGGATGTCTTGTCAAGTTGTAGTGTCGGAAAGTCCCTTTCTAGGACTCTTTTTTAGCATCATACACACAGTAGGGAGGGAGCATGCTCTGTGGGGGTCCCCTAATTGCCATCACAGCTCTGTCACCTTGAGCCTGCTAAACCTGGGGTTGGCCACTTTATCCCCATCATCTCTAAAATGGGGGTCAGAAGCCTGCTCCTCTTGAGCAAGAGGAGTCTTAGGACAACCCAGGACAAAGTAAGAATACTCTGTTATCCCCATAAGACATTGAAGAGTTGCTCAGGACCAAGAGTTACTAGTCGTGGTAACTGCTCTCCTGCTAGGCTGGACTGATTCCATCCTCAGCACTGTTACTACAGAGGAGATGAGGTTCAAGGCACGACGCGTACATGCTCAAGGCCTGGTACATGTCATCCACAGAACAATCTGGCTCTGGTGTTTTACAAAGAAATATATTATTGTAAGAGCTTTGCTTAAATCTTGGTGTGTGTAAAAGAGTTGGGTACAGTGGTATACACATCTGTAATGCCAGCACTGAGGGGCAGAGGCAGGAGGATCTCGAGTTGCAGGCCAGCCTCTAAACCAAACAATAACAACAACAACAACACACACACAAACAAAACACCACCAGAAACAGAAAGTAAGGGCAGGAGAGAAGAAGAAAGAGTTAGGGAAAGGGAAGAAGAGATGGGAAGGAAGGAAAGAAAAGATGAAAACCAAGTATAGCCAGCACATATGGGTAGTGTTACTTAGGATACGGATCACAGTAAGTCAGTCTCAAATGTAGTGAGGAAACTGATGCAGCTATGCAAACGTTGTGTGAATAAGTATTACCTCTAGTAGTTAGATAAGCAAACCTACACCATGTCTGTATGCTCATGACCTCCTTGTGGAAACACTGCTGTGTCTGATAATGGGCCCTCAGTCCCTCTGGGCACAAGCAGCCATATTTGCATGGCAAATGTGGTCTTGTCATTAGAAAGAGGCAGACTCATATGGAGAAGATCCCATGGGAGGAGCCTGGTGGGGACAGCAAGAGGGGAGGGTGGACTGCTGTCAGTCCTCACCCCTCCTCTTTCGTTCTTTCCCACCCCTCAGATAAAGAAGGCTTTCTTTGCCATGGTGGCCAATGGTGTGAGGGCAGCCCCTCTGTGGGACAGCAAGAAGCAGAGCTTTGTGGGTGAGGAGAGGTGGTTGGACCCCCTCTGGTGGAAGACTGCTGGCAGGTTGAGATCTTCAATAAGCCTTGCACTTAGGCCTAACATCCCCCACATTTGTCACCTGTCAACCCTGCAGGCATGCTCACCATCACAGACTTCATCCTGGTGCTGCACCGTTACTACAGATCCCCCCTGGTGAGTTCTGATTGACTGGTGGGCTGGGATAGGGGATCTTCAGGAGGCCTGATGTTCCAGGGCTCAAGTCTGACCCCAAACTCCCACCAATGCCTTTAGGTCCAGATCCATGAGATTGAAGAACATAAGATTGAGACCTGGAGGGGTAAGTTGGAGAAGACTTCAGGGGTTCAAGTTGGGTCCCAAGACTTGAGACCAAAGGTGGGATTTCCTGGAGGGCACAAGGCAATGGGGAAGCCTCAACTAGGAAGAGTAGCAGTCAGGAGACAGCGTGAGGCCACTGGGAATTCCTGGGGACTGACTCCGGTTTTTCTGCAGAGATCTACCTACAAGGCTGCTTCAAGCCTCTAGTCTCCATCTCTCCCAATGACAGGTAAACATGCTCTCTGTTCACCTGAGCCTGCCCCCACCAAAGACTTTTGTTGTGTTATTTGTTACTTGGTGCGTGCGTGCATGCGTGCGTGTATCATGGTCCATATTCGGAGAACAGAGCATGTTTTGCAGAAGCTGGTTCTCTTCTTCCACCAACAGGGATGCAGGGACTGAGCCCGGGTCAACAGGCTTGGCAACAAGGACATTTATATGCTGAGCCATGCTCTCTGAGACTCTTGAATCATGCCCTTGTGCTCTCTCTCTCTGTCCTGCATTCATTCACTTCTTCCCAGAAGCAGAGGGATGAGGGAACCTTGGTTCCCTGTTAGGGGCCTCAGATGGAGGGTCCTTACCATGCTGCTTCTGGTCTCACTGCTTCTATTCCCTAAAGTCTGTTTGAAGCTGTCTATGCCCTCATCAAGAACCGAATCCACCGCCTGCCGGTCCTGGACCCTGTCTCCGGCACTGTGCTCTACATACTCACGCACAAGCGGCTACTCAAGTTTCTGCATATATTTGTGAGCCTGGGCTGGTGGGAGCAAAGGGAGAGCCACGGGAGGTGCTCTGCATCAAGTATCTTGATCTGATGAGATCACTACTGTGTCCCATCCCAACAGGGTGCCCTGTTGCCCCGGCCCTCCTTCCTCTGCCGAACTATTCAAGACTTGGGCATCGGCACATTCCGAGACTTAGCTGTAGTTCTGGAATCGGCTCCTGTCCTGACTGCGCTGGACATCTTTGTGGACCGACGTGTGTCTGCACTGCCTGTGGTCAATGAATCTGGTAGTACCCTCAGGGTGAAAGGCTCTAGCTAGGGTGGGCAAGGGAGGGTCTGACTGGGAGTATGTGGGCAGAGCGTTGGACCATTAGAATCATTAAATAATCAGGTGTAGGGCCAAGATGCAGTGGGATTAGAGGTCTTTGCACACTTTGAACTTTGATCTAATTATTTAACCTTTCTGAGGCCCAGTTTGCCCAATTGTGAAAGGGAATTTTTTTTTTCTTGCCAGGGGTGTTGTTTTGAGATACAGTCTCACCCTGTGGCACAGAAGATGACTATGTAGCACACACTGGCCTCAAATTCATAGCAGTCCTGCCTTTGCCTACTGATGCTGAACTGTGGGATTACACTACCCAGAATGCCTCATGGGTGGAGGGAACTTATCCTTCTGCCTTTGAAGGAGGATTGGTAACATTATGTGCAATAAGATGATGGTCAAAGGAAACAGCAGATCCTTTGTGCTCACCTAGGAATGAAACATGGAATCCTGCGCACCCAGCCTGACCCCATTGTCCTGTTTTAGAAAGGGTCAGACAGACAGCAAGAACATTTCTTTAGTTAGACTATGGCCACAAGGTGTTTCAAAGTTGGGGCTTGGGAAACGGTTCCGCTGGTAAAACTATTAACTCTAAACGTAAAGACCAGGGATTGGATTCCTCAGCACTCAATTAAGTGGGGGGTGGTGTGTAGTCCCAGGGCTCAGGAAGTGACAGCAGAAGGTCCCTGGGGACAATAAGCTGGCTAGCTAGACTAGCTGAATCCTGGAATACCAGGTTCAGTGAAAGGTTACCAGGTTCAGGGAGAGATCTTGCCTGAATAAACAAAGTGGGAAGCAATAGAGGAAGACATCAACCCTCGGTCTCCACACATGCAGGAGCACATATCCATGTGACAGCACACACACACATACACACGCACACACACACACACACACATGCAGGAGCACACACACATGTGACAGCACACACACATGCA